CGTGGACAGATTTGGCTCAAATGTTGTCTCCTGGGGTAGTTTGACCTCCTGAATACGAATATCACATTCGCTTAGCCCGAAACTTCCTGGCGCCCGCGCCACAGGCGCCGGTGATTTGGGGTATTTTGGCGCCAGCGCCTGTAGCGCGGGCGCCAGAAGGTTTCCGCGCCGAACGGATGCTATATTAGAAGGTCATCCTACCCCAGGGAGCAAGTTTTTAGCAAATTTGGTGAGCGCCGGCGCCTGTGGCGCATGCGCCAGGTTTCGTGCCTAGCGGATGTGATATTCATGTTCAGGAGGTCAAACTACCCCAGAAAACAAATTTTTCAGCCAATTCTGCCAACGCAGAAAAAGTCGGTCAAAAACTGGTTCTCGGAAAATTGGGGGAGAAAGGGGTAAATAGTACCGGCCGCTCTAAGCGCGGTCACGGTACTCTGCTACTTCCTTCGAATACGTACATCGGCTTTCAGCTGATTCTGATGCTCTTTCACAAGCACTTTCGAGTATTCGATGCGATTCAGTTGTTCGATTGTTTTCGACAGTTTCTCGACCACATGGAAATATGGCATTATCCATCATGTCAATGCGACGAGTTAATCTGAATTACATCTAAAGGGTTTTTAAATGCACTCTTTATTGAAAAAATTGATTTGTCCAACGGAGTCCCAGCTACACTGCGCCTAGACTGCTCATCTAAAACTTGCAGCAGATTGCTCAAATAAAGATTATGACGATTTTCGGTAGGCGTCTGAGCTGCCACGCAATCGACGTAGGGGGCTTGCTCTCTGGCATCTCTGGCAGCCTACGTCTCCTCTATGGCCCTATCCCATATACAGTGTGAAACACAAAGAGTGTTCTGTTTTAGGGTGCAGGTCGTAACATTCTAGTTGAGAGGACGCCCTTGAAGGCAGACGGCGCGATGGCTGGGAGCGGGCGACGCGTTTGGCCATACCCCATCAGGTCTTCCACCAATAACGTTGCAAGCAACCGTCTGACAAGAACCATTCTGATCCCAAGCACGTGCGAACTGCCTTCTAAACTTGGCCTAAGCATATTTACCTAGTTTCTTCACATATATGCCAACGTGGAGCTTGCAATCATTTGGTCTAATGCGGGAAGCGCCAACAAGTGGCTTTGCTTGCAATGCCAGCCTTCTGCTGCGATTATGTGACAGCTTTAGAACTACATGGAACTTCCAGCTATGGCGTCCCGGGCGCGAAAGCTTAGGCGGACAAAGGTAAATAGCATGTGCGTAGCTGCCAGGCACCGAAAGGTCCGCGGAAAACCATGGTCTCGCGAGCCAGCAGATGAGCTTTCAGAGGCAGAGAGCCCCGAGATGAGCTTTTCATGCGAGAAATGCTGGATTGTGAGGTCACAGAGGTCGCAGAACGTCTTGCAGACGTGAGAGCGCAGAGAAAACTGTTGACGCAGTTGGGAATTTGTTGGGAGGAAAAAGGGACTGAATAGAAGTAGGCCATATCTTTTGCCATATCGAGAATAACTTCTTTGAAACGCAATTTTTTGCAAAACCAAAAGGCCATCGGAATGCTCAATATTTTCCCACTTCCAAAGCTCCAGATTTCCTGAAGACCCGCTGGCCCTCTGGGCCATTGTAATAACTCATTCGCAAACCTCAGTATGCCTTCAGGACACATTCCCGTTAAACTGACCGAGTCAAAAGCATATTTGTTTATTCATTGATCCACTTTGCGTGCGAGTGCCTGTGCGTGCATATGCTTCAAGCAGAAGTGAGGGAAGGGTGTAACTTCCGATTTTAGGCGATTTTCGCTGATGCAAGCAGATGTTTGTTCAGGGTTTGTAAGGCTATTGTTTTACTATTCTGTAGTCTTTCTTATATCCGGGTCCTCTGCAGCATTCCGTTCACTCCACCAAAGCTTTATCGATGCGCTTGCTGTTTGGTGCTCACCGACCCTGCGTTGACGACGCCCCTCTTGGCCAGCGGCCACTACTACCCCGGAAGGTTTTGCCCATTCATTCCATCAAACTTAGCGATGACGCTTTTGTGCTGTTTGATGCTCAACGATACTGCGTATATGACACTCCCTTCCCTATTAGAAGCATTCCCTAGCTAGCGGCCAGTATGACCCCCGTAGGGTTTTGCACAACGATGGTGTACCCTGTGCCTAATAGCTATGCATCACTTACACTGCTGTCGAACGATACTCCTCGTCGATGATTTTCTGGCGCTCAACTTGCTCTTTAATCTCGTTTCCCACCTCGATTAGGGCCTATAATATAGGCGCAGCTATTACAGCCCGAGTTTTTCCTGTCAAATGCCCTAACCTCATCGCTGACTTCGTCGTTCAGGCTTATGTTGAGTTTCTCGAACGCGTCCGTTATGACCTTCTCGTTATAACCAGCCCTGAAGCGTGCTATTCCTCCATAGTAGTTTCTATTACCTGATAGTATTGACCCACTTACATCAACAAGTCTATCTTGTAGTCGTTGTAAGTGGCAACTTTTTTGTCATCCTTCTTCCCGCGAGTCACTTTCTGTAGTAAATGGTTTTATCATGATTGCATGGAGCGGAACAGTCTTTGAGGCACCTACTGACCTGTCTGATCCAGTCGAATATTCCGTCGCCATCGTTCTGCCGTGCCAATTCGGCTTTCACTTCGACATACGAGTCGTTAATGATAGCAAGGAACATGTTCTGGAAAGGGCTCAAGGCTAATTCTATGCTGTGAGCGGTGTCAGGCCTACCACAGCGCCTTCTCCCTTTTTGCGACTGGTCTTCGTTGCCTCAGAAAAGCGATAAGGCAAATGAGGAGGCAGACAGCAGGCAATTACTAGCTCCGCCCATTCAGCGAGAGCGAGATTTGTCTTCAAATCGATGGGTACGTTTCTATGTAAGACTAGACTCGCTTACCAGAAGCACGAAGAAGACGAAGAACACGTAAGTAACAAAGAATAGTGGTCCCAAGACGCGATTCGTTTGTTCAAGAGCGTGGAAGTCGAAATCACCAAGAACAGTTCGAAGCAGAGCGAACACTGAGCCGAGAAAAGTCGAATAGTCAGCAATCTGAAAAGGGTCTCTTCAGCTTATTTTCTAATTTTCACTTACAATTAGTGTGAGGTCAGAAACGAATGACAACTATCAAAGCTCCCACTCGTAAAACCCCAGAGTCATGGCCTCCGGTACCCGCGAATGTGCCCTCAACTGTAATCAATGACACCTGGAATTTTGTAGAGTCTGGTTTGCTGCGCATGCTGGGGCGTGGGTATGAAGTGGCGTTTCCACGAATTGCTGGAGCAGGCAAGCGATAACAATTGGTGGAAACGGCTGACGCCGAGCCAAACCCAGAACCCCTGATACGCCCCAGCCTCTGAAGCGAACGGACCCTAGACACCGTTCCCGGCGTTAGCTCTCCAAGAACTGTCAGTTCACTCCCCTACTTCTAGCAATCTCCCCAATATATTCTACTTCTCCATTCGGAAAGAGCCGCTTTTTATTGATTGTTTCGTGTAGCGCGACGCTACTGCGCGCGCCTATGGTACCCAAACTAATTATTTTATTGCTAGAGCTAGAACATCACCTGAGTGCCGAATACTAAATAGCCAAATTGAGCGTAGGCGAAGAAGAACACCGCGAACATGACAGCAAATCCACCAATATCCTTTGTGGAACGGGACAGTGTAGCTGCGAGTTGATTCATCGTCTTGTTTATGCCGATGTAGTTGAACACATGAAAACGAGGTTTATATTCAACTTTTTTAATTTAAGTCAAATGCACATTCCCCGAAGAGTGGATGGGCGGAAAATGGGCGGAGACAATCATTGTCACTCCCCTAGTTACGAGCTTCTCCCATTCCACCGTTCTCCCTTGACCTTTTAAAGTGTCTTTCAATTAAATTATGCCATTTGGCCTGCACCTTAATCCAAGATAAGAACAGAACAACAGCTGCGATGTTGTTGAACACCTCTTGTGTACTGACGACATCATCGAAAGCCGCAGCGGTAAGTCCGCCTGAAAGAAAATCGGACCTAAGAGACCTTGGAAGAAAAGCAACGGTCACAAAGGCTCATGCTAAATAGTTCACGGAGGAAATGGACCAGGGCTTTTCCTGAAGCTGGAGATCGTTTTGGGATAATAAGACCCCCCCAAACCTCCCCTCTGTAATCGTCCCTCTCTTTTCCCATCGTAGCTTTAATCTCGCTAACCTTTCCTTCTTCCTAGCACTTCTCCCACTTTGCCTAAAAACTTCCTAAGCTTCAGAAACCTGCCGCCGAGGGGGTAGGGGTGATCAAAGTCGTCACCAAACAACTACTACTTTCAACTATCAAAAGTAACAGTTGTATAGAACCTTGGAAGCTAAACCACGGAGGAGAAAAAATCAATCATCAAAAAATCTTAGGCCGAAATGCGACTCCCGTCCCTCAGTGCAAGTCCCCGAATCTTCTCCTGCTTGAACTGGAACGTGTACAGGATTTTTCGAATTCCACCCGCTTTGCGAAAAATGTTTGCGCTATGCTCCAGTGAAAATGAAAGAACATTTTTGTATTAATTGGTTAAGTTCACCAAGTTCCCCACAAAAATTCAGACTTA